CTCGCGAGCAGGGGTCGTAACAATTGTTGTTGGCTTTTTTGAGTTTTTGAATCTATTTTCTTACTATAAAGTGCTAAAGTGTTCTCATTTTCTTTCATTTCTATCTATATTTCTATAAATTTCAGCGTTTTCCTCTTCTATCTTCGACTAAGATGCATCTGAGGCGGCATCATGGTCACTTTCTATAACAGTCTTATTCAACATTTTCAACATCATTAAGATTACCTGAATCCACTTCACACCACTGTAAAATTGTACATGATACCTTCGAATAGTAGGGGTGAAGTATTTAGACATTCCTTATGGAGTCTTTCTGACTTATGTCACCATTTGGAGGTTAATTTTTGTTTAAAAATATTTGATCACAACTTTGTAAAATTATTGTGGATAAGATATAACCAATAAAATATCTTAATTGTCTGGTAATTCTGCATATGACTTTTTTAATTACATATTTATTAGAAGTTGGAAATGTAATCCAATTCTGAACGGCGCTGTAATCTGCGGAGTAGTTGTTTTTTACATTATAATTATTTGTAAAATGGCATTTAGGAAAAAATTTGAAATTTAGACCATATGTAGCCTCACTATTACTCTATTGTGTGCTAAAATTTCAGTTAATTTGGTTATCCCATTTTTTAGTTATTAATGAAAATGTTGAAAAAATCACGGTTTTCTGTCTACAAAATTGATACCTCTCACTTTAACTCGTAATCAATTTTGTAGGCAGAAAGCCATGATTTTTCCAACATGTTCATTAATAACAAAAAAATGGGATAACCAACCTAACTGAAATTTTAGCACCGAATAGAGTATTAGTGAGTCTATAAATGGTCCAAATTTCAAATTTTTTTGCGCCTACGTTTTCTTAATATCGGTTTCCAAACTCAGGGGTCTATTTCATTAATTTCGTTTTATAGTTCATTAGTTTTTCGATAATAAACCATATAACTGCATCGGTACTTGCTCCGCTGTTCGATAATGGAAAGAAAGTATAGTTTTGTGACAATCCGTTGCAGGTCCCTCTATGACATCATTTATGATCTTAAGGATTGGTATTTTTTAGTACCTTAATTAACTAATCCATTAATTAGATTAATGAATAAACTGTACGAAATGGATTTGTACATTCATAGTCAGTAATGGTGTGATTAATTAACCAAGTCTTGAAGCAATACTAAAAATATTAGATATAAGTTAATTTCTTTCAACCATGGATGCTGCTGGGGCCAAAATTTCTACTCAATGGAATACCCTATGATGAAAATAAAGATTTTTGTGTGAAATAAGAAAACTTATCGGAGTATGTTAGAAGAAACCTTAGAGTAATAGGTTTTTACTACTGTTTCCACTGATCTTTAGATTTTTTTTTGAAAAATAAATATTTCAGTATCTTCCAAATATTTTTGGCTCAGTTTTTATATGTTGTTGGCAGTCTAATATTTTGCATTTGCATTTTACCTTCTAAAATTAATACCTATCTGTTAATCCACCTTTAACTTGTTATATAATATTTCAAAAGCAACAAAACCGTCTATTTCCTGTAACGAATTATAGATAACTTTATAAATATAGTTTTTATTTACTATGATATTATTATGTCCAAATTGGTTCTAATTGAACCAACTAAAACATAAATTTGACTAGAATTATTCAAACCAGACCATGTGATAAAAGTGCGTGCCTTTAGTACGCATTGTTTGAGATCTTGACTAATTTATTAATAAAACATTTAAATGGAAGAATGAACACATTTATAATATTTTTTATAGTTTCAAATAATGCTTGTGTATAGGCACTCAATGCACCAATGCTTTGTGGGTTGCAGTTTATTTAATATAATTTTCTAGCTAAGTTTTTTTTTGGATAAATTTTAAGTAATAAATTCTCGCATATTATAAAGAAATTGTATGTTTTTTGTACCTAGCTTGGGGAAGATGAAAGTATTTTTTTTATAATTAGCTATAGCGACTTTCTAGGATAAATTTTTGAGGGAACTAATTATACAAAGTGTTACAAAAAAGTAGGTCAAGACGTTAGTCACAGCTCCTTTGGGTAAACATAATGGAATTTCCTTTCGTTACATTTAATGAAGGCGATCTTTTTTTCAAGACGGAGGTTGTCAAAATTAGAATTAAATAAAGGATTTATATTAATAACTGTTGTTTATTAATATGTTAAGTTGAAATTTTGCCTAGACACACCTTTCGCTACGCAATACATTCACTCGGCTACACGGGACGCAGAAGGTAAGGGATAGTCATGACAAATTCGGCTCAATTGAGCCGGCTCACTGAACCGGTTCCGTATGAGGAACCGGAACCGGTGAACCGGGTCAACAAAATGAACCGGATTTCTCATCTCTAAAATGCATTAAAAATCTTTCTAAAACACACGTACGTACGTAATTCTATAGATAACACAGGCCAACAAGAAAAAAATTCCAGAGATCAGACACTACGTTTCCGAAGGCATTTGGCGCGCTGAATCCGAATCTGGCCTCAGAATTGATCCATCACCCTAGGTTTCCGAGATATTCTAACCTAAAAGTGCAAAAAACACGTATTTTTGCTATTTTCAAGGTTATGTAACTTGGCGAAAAAATTTTTTTTCTCAAAACTGAAAATATCATTGGAAACTACTATCTTTCCCCTTCAAAACGCATTTTTTTATTTGTAAAAAGCTTTATTTTTCGCGGAGATATCGTCGATTAAAGATGATCAGTATAGCTTCCTTATTAAACCATGGCTATAACACAATATCACTAAGCGCTACGAGCCTTAGAGGGCTCGCAGCGCTTAGTGTTATTGGGTAATAGGGCTTGAAGTTAACCTTCCTGACGATTAGGGCTCACAGCGCTTAGTGTTGTGGGGTTATAGGGCTTGGGATTAACCTTCCAGACATATAGGGCTTGGGGTTAACCTTCCTGACGATTAGGGCTCGCAGCGCTTAGTGTTATTGGGTTATAGGGCTTGAAGTTAACCTTCCTGACGATGAGGGCTCGCTCCGCTTAGTGTTGTGGGGTTATAGGGCTTGGGGTTAACGTTCCTAACAATTAGGGCTAGCAGCGCTCAGTGTTATGGGGTTAGCCATGATGTAATAATATAGCCATACTGGTCATCTTAAATTGACGATATCTCCGCGAAAAATAGAGCTTTTTCCAAATAAAAAAATGCGTTTTGAAGGGGAAAGATAGTCGTTTCCAATGATGTTTTCAGTTTTGAGAAAAAAATTTTTTTCGCCAAGTTACATAACCTTGAATATAGCAAAAGTACGTGTTTTTTGCACTTTTAGGTTAGAATATCTCGGAAACCTAGGGTGATGGATCAATTCTGAGGCCAGATTCGGATTCAGCGCGCCAAATGCCTTCGGAAGCGTAGTGTCTGATCTCTGGAATATATTTTTTTAAATTTTGTCGGCCTGTGTAATTAACGATGTTATGTCATCTTTTAATGCTGTCTGTGAATTTTGTTATTGCTTGTAATCGTGTGTGTTAATTTTAATAATGTTTACATGTTGTTGTAATCTGTTTTAACTGTGTAAGTATCTATGTTTAATTTAATGACTTTAAGTAGCGATATAACATTTTAGTTCGTTACTCTGTGAGTTAATCTTACACTTATTTACCTCGATCTTTTGTATTTACTGTTCTTATAAACTAATTTATAATATCACACTAAATAAATTATTATTATATTCATTCAAAAATCTACGACCCTACCTACTTTTTTTTAACGCTCTGTATGTTATTTGATGTTCTAGGGTAGAGAAGTCAACCTAAAAACTTACCGACCCACTGACCCATAACTAAATGTAGTTAGGACAATGTTTATATGGCAGATATTATACAGGGTGTTTTAGAAAGGCCTCCTGTAAATACAGGGGGTGACAGTACGATAAAAAATAATAATTTTCTTATTAACTATTATGTCTATCTCCTCTTGCTTTTGAGAAAGATAGAATTTTTTCGAAAATTTCCAAACGGTGCAAAATGTTAATGTGGTGAATTACGGTGTAGAAAATAAGTGACTTTTCTGAAAGTAGGCTTATGTCAAGACTTATTGATGGATGCCTCATAAACAACGCATAGTAATATTTTAAACTATAATTAAGTTTATATCAAAATTTTAATGACTGTAACTTGTCACTACTAACTACAGTCACTAAAAATCACTAAAATTTGACATAAGCCTACTTTGAGAATAGTCATTTATTTTATACACCGTAATATTGTAAGAGTTTAATTAAAAGCCTTTTTTCTCGAAAACCGTCCACATTAGGAAGTTCTAACATGAGTACATTATTTTAAGAAAATTAAATTGTACATTAGAAATTGGAGCCCGAATGGTAAAAAACCTAACCTTAAAAAAAATAAAACTTAAAATGTAATAGGAATGTAGCATAACTATCGCCCTCTATGAAATATTCAAAAAATAAGTAGACCAGCGTATTTAGCATCCTTAGAAACCTCGGAATACCAAATTTTACAAAAATATTTCGCACCGTTTGTAAACTTTCGTAAATATTCTATTTAAAAATTTTTATTTTGTCGGTCTGAATCTCGAAAACGAGTGGAGATAGACATATCGTTCATAAGATAAACGTTATTATTTTTTGTCGTACTATCTGAAACAACCTGTATATTTCCTGTATTAAAAAAAGGAACTGGTATGTAGATAAACCAAAGGAGCTATTTAGATGGAAGATTTCACTACAGTGCATCTTTAGGGGATATTATTTCAAAATTGGATAGCAATCCGCCTATATACCACGTTATGGTTATTCATAGCACCTTCATATGGGTCGCCTCGTACATATGATTCTTAACCCCACGATACTACTTCACGGAAACATTTAGCCACACTTTGCTCGAACCCCAACCGACACCGCCCTTTATCAAACGAGCCAATTCAAGGCACACACACCTTCCTCCCAATCATCGGCCTGCAACACTCGCTTTTAATCTAATTTAAGTTTAATTCAACGGATTTCCGTTAGCGTCAAGTCATCACGCTGTGTAGCTTGTGCAGGTTTGTCAGCGTAGTTACGTCATTGGGTTGGAGCCTCAGGGCCTCCCGGTAGCTCTCTGCCGCCTCCCTGTACTTGCCGTTGAGGTGCAAGATGGCTCCCAGGTTGGTATGGCTGCGAGCATCCTGTAACGAAAAGAGATAATAGATAGTTTAAGTTGTGTTTCAAACGTGAATGTATTCGTGGAAAGCAAATTTTTTTACGTTTAAAATTATTAGATAGTTTAAGTCAGTTAAAATATGAACTTGACCTCAAATATTTTGTCAAAGTCATGCTTGCGCAAATAAGATTTTTTTTATCTGATGTCTTTAAGATGCATGTCCAATAAGCTAGAAATACATTGCTAATAAATGACTTGTAACGTAACAGCGAACATGTAACACTGCATTGTGGAGACAAATTAATTGTATGTTACCCGTACCGTGCTTTACCGTGCCCAAATATTTTTCATGCATATTGGCGCCCCTCCCTATGTTTCTCAGTTTGTGAATCTTTACATACTAACTTTTCGGAAAGGTGGATAGGACGAAATGACCCTGTACGTTGGTCAGTACGGATATGAACTCTCTAGACTTTTTTGTTTGGGGGTGTATGAAACAAAATGTGTACCGAACACCTATTGTGGATGCAGCAGATCTCCAATAGCGTATTTTTGCTGCAGCTAATGAAATTTGACAAATGCCGGGAGTTTTTGCACGTATGCGAACTAATTTTGACCGTCGTTTTGAAGCATGTTTATTAGCACATGGAAACAACTTTGAGCAATTTTTGTACAGTCTATTGGTAATTCGTTTATTTGTTTAATTTTTGTGTTACATTTAAACGAGATTTAAAGAAATTTCATCATTTTAGAACACAACATTTGAACCACCAAAACCGCTATCAGTGCTTTCGCACTACGGAGCGTGGCAACTTGGATATCAAATTTCAAACCTTCATGAGATTTTTTTTTTTCAATTTAAAACGTAATGTTTTAGATTTAGACCATCAGTTGCTCAATAAAAGTTGCTCATTTTCGTACCCTCTATCACCCTTTCGAAGAATGTACTTATTTCAGAAACACCTTGTATATACAGAAGTACTAGCAATCCAAATTTCTTTTAAATCGAATAAAGTAGATATTTTGAGGAAACGATTTTTTTTGTCAAGTTTGTGAATAAGTGAAGCAATTGTGGATAATGCTAAGTTTGCTTGTTCTGACCACAAGAATCTGTGGTAGAACGATATACATAGAATATCGTCACGTTCTATACAAGTTTCCCATTTCTATTGTTTTGTTACAAAAAATTGTTACTACCTACTTTTATAATATTACCCTCACAGCAATGTATATTGTAAATAATATATAATGAAAAAAATAATTGAAAGAATAAGTTTAGTTGTTAATATAATATCAGAACAATAAAATTATACGAAATAAACAATCAGCATCACAGTAATTCTATAAAAAAATGGAAAAAAAAACTAAACCAAAAATTAGAAAGAAAAATGAAATAAGTTCTGAGGTGGGATTGCATTACTATATGAAAATTGATCTAGTGTTGATAGTCCTTAAGCGCCTCGAGAATCTAATCGGATTACAAAATCGAGAGAAGCAGATACGATACTTGTCACCATCAAAGAAATTTCTTTACTAAGTCGCCAAGTATAGTTGACCTAGTGAAACTTTAGAGACACCGTTGTCCTTTAAACGAGATGCGAAGCCATAGGATCCGTGTTCGTGCGGTGCCAAGCACGTTAAGGATCCCTACACCATGACACAATTTCTAGATTAAGGGTGCCTCTATTTACATAAACATCGATAAGCTCAAATCTTTGCCTTATCAGTGGATAAAAGAGAAAGAGCTATGAATATACTGTGCGGCTGCAAAGTAACGCATACACTTCATAATGGCTTTTTTTATTTCTAGAATTAATATGGGGTTTACAATTTTTTGTTTTCAGTTGATCTTTTCATAAAATGGTTTCTTTTCCTTAGGTATTACAACTTTTTCCAATTTCACTTCTAGAAATTTCCATGGATATAGAATAAAAAATAAATATAATGCAAAATCATGACAAGACAATAATAAAATAAAATCTGTGAAAGTCGTTGAAAAAATATTTAGGTTTTACTAAGCATCTTGCAATTTATACTCGAAGATAAGTATCTCGTTAGTGTTATCTGTTCGTATTTTGCTAATCTGTGAAACTTTGGCACTACGAAATCGTAAAATGTAAACATCAACAACTCTGAAAAAAATTGCACTGATATTAGTTCTTCTTGTTCGAAAGATCATTAAATAATATATAGCCCCACTGGACTGTAACAGAATAAGGAATACAATACAGCAAAAATATTACTAACATTACGAAATTAAATGTATCTCGGATGTTATGTACCTAACTCTTTACGCAGGACAATGACAAGGACAATGATAAAATCAAAACTTTTCCAAAATGTCTCCCAAATAAACAACTGTTCTCTATCTCCAACGGTTTCTAGATAACACTATTATTGCATCAAATTTAAAACATAAATATGGCATCACTAAATAAGTTCGTGTACTTTAGTTATATTTATATTCAGTAAATTATTTTTTGTAAAACACAATTTAACAAAAAAAAAAGATATAATATTAACAATATAAAGTTTTTATTGAAATGTTTATTGGACTGTGACACAAATACGATTTAACTATGTACAAGGACAAAAGTTCTAAATGCTTATTAACTGAACTTGAATAGTTTGGAGGGTAGCTCAGTATACCGAGTTAGTGCACTTAGTACATCCTCCCAGCGAGAGATTAGCTCTCCTGAGCCGTCAACCAGCCTATTAAGGAGAAAAAGATGATGATGTTGCTCTAACGTTGCTCTCTCTCTAACGTAGGCCATAGAAGATCACCGTTCTCCAAGCACGGATTCTCTCAGTAACCAGACACCAGTGCACTCGCAGGGTACCTAGATAAATGATACTATAGATAGGAAACTTGAACAGATTTCGTGGTCATTAACAGCGCTAACTGTTGACACTTTCTCCAACTTCTATTGCTTTCCTTTTTTAGGAATTATCGGTAATACAGTGAGTTAAATTACCTGTAGCCGGTAAAAGATGCAAGCGCCATCTAGTTGTACGCTCTACAACTATATACCTACCTACTCAATATTTGTTTTAGGTATTCTGACGCCGCTAAATTTAAAATTACATAACAAATCTCACCCTACACAGATCACTCAGAAATTGATTTTGTAAAATAATTTTCACGTAGATAATTTTTTTTGTCACCATGAGAAAATAAATACTTTTGATAAAAAGCAGTAAAATCACTCAAGCATTAAAGACACTTTTAAATGGTCTAATAGTATTCCTACTTAAAATAAGAAATAATTTTGATACTGTAACTTTTTAAAATGTTTGTTGAAAAATTTCAAATTTCAGTACATATTTTGAAAAAAAAAGAGTGGAAATGATTATAGAGTTTCTGTGCTTTCTATATTGTATTAGCTTTCACGGTGAATAAAAAAATATTACAAGTAAATAATTTTACTAAACCAATCTTTGATTAATTCTTGTAATAGAGATTTATTATGCAACTTAAAATTTTTCGTTGTGTTGATATCCATAAAAAAAACTACCTACCACTGATCACATTTTTTATTAAACAAAACAAAAAAAACATTTTATTATTAATAAAAAAATGTGATTATATGATCATCAGACATTATTATGTTATATAAATAAATGTGAATGAAATACACACTAAAAACACAAATAAAACACACACCAACGCTCGCCAAACCTAACCAACAATAAACATGGACAACAAGAATGACATGAAATGATTCATAATTGCAATTGTCAAAATTTATTCTACAAAATCTTTGTGGCGACATCTATAGACTCTTTCCCCAACTTGTATATCCATCTCAAGTCACGTGGTTCCCAGTTTCCCCATATTTTCAATTATAAGTTCTCGGGCCCTGGCAGAGTACATGGAAAACTGTCTCGTCTTCCTGCTCACAACCTCTACAAAGAGGTGTTGCGAACTTCCATATATTGTAGAGGTGTTTCTTAGCCAACAGTGTCCGATCTGAATAGCCGTCACCAGGCGAAGGCTTACCCTGGATATAGCCAAGTATTTTTTTGGCTGTGTCTTTGCTGGGGTATCCTAAGAACTCCTTAGCAAATTGACAGCTGTTTATTTTATCCCACCGTGTTCTAAACTATTTGTAGGTGTTTTCCTTAATCATTTCAAAAATTGCTGACAACGAGAGTACACTGGAGGGACTGGGTCCAAATATAGTACGACCAGATGTTCTCCTTGCTAGCTTGTCAGTTTTTTTATTACCATTCCACCAGTCAGTTTTTAAAGGGAAAGGATCGAAAAGCTCGAGACAGGTCATTTTTTCACTAAAATGGAGACTTCAAGCGGCGATATCTCCTTTATTTTTAATGCTATAGGAATAAAAAAAGCAAAATATTTGTTGAAAAAAAGCTACATTTTGGTTGTCTATCATTTTTTTCCTATCTTTCATAGTTTTATATAAATAAGACATTTTTTTTTTGAATAATGAAAAATACGTTTTCAACTTTTAACGTACAATATTCAAAAAATACGCATTCTAAGCCAGTTTAACTTCAGGATCGTATGAAAAACACTAAAACAAAACTAATTGTAAAGGGTCTACGATTAATTTTAATTCTGATGGAAATGGCACAGCGTTTACTGCTCATTTTTCCTTAAAAAATATGAGCAACCCATTTGTTTTTGACGATAACTCCTTCAATTTTGCTCTAATTAACTTTTATAAGTGCTCATTTTGAAGATTTTTTTGAGTACTACAGAAAACTCCAGGAGCGTTATACATGTAAAATTAATCCTTTTTCCGTTATTTGACGTTGAATACATTGATTCCCGTATTCCCCCCCCCCCCAAAACAAGTCTCCTTCCACTAACCATATTTCGCTTTGTAAAGGACGTACAACACTTTTTAAAAAACGATTTTCTTTGTTTATTTATAAGATACATTTTTGTTCATTACACTTTTTTTAATAAAATGCGTAGTTTTTGAGTTATTCGCAAAAAATACTTTGAAAAAGTGTTTTTTTTTTCACTCGTGATAACTAGAGAACTATTGATTTCTC